CTCTCCCCTCACACACCAGCCTGCTCTAGCTCCCTCTGCCCACAGACAGGCATGGCTTGTTCCCTTTGATCTGAGTTTCCAGAATTAGGAGAAACCCACAGTAAAATTGTTAGAGCCCTTGGAGGTGTTGTTATAAGTGGTGTTTTTCACGATCACACAGAGAAAAACAAAGGAGGAGAAATGCCAAATCACCCAGGCGTTAAGATTTGCTGGAAAATCACATGCACATCCAGGGCACAGTTGACCCAGGAGTTAGCACACCATGTGTTTATAACCTAAGTTCGTAAATGTAGCATAACTTGTTTTCATAATTTTTGCTTGCCCTTTTTCCCCCACCGAAGGTGTTCCCCTTCACCCTAGCATTCTGCCCTCTCCCACGTGTGTGGCCACCCCAGGGGGCTTTTCCCAGCTCAGGGCTCTGGGTCCTTCGGTGCCTGACTCCGTCAGCTCTGGATGCTGGCCCGGGAAGGAGCCCCCAGATACGGCAGAGAGACCCACGGATGGGAGCGCCCAGCTGCGGTGACTGGCCCGGGAGGCGGGCATGCGACCCAGGCAGGGCCAGGGAGGCCTTTCCCGGGACTTCTTCAGGAGAGTCTCGGAGAGAAGAGCCTGTTCTTTCGGCCGCTCACCCAGCGCTCAGCCGGGCGTGCAGGAGTCAGGGCACCGCCTGGGGTGAGACAGACCCAGACCCCCTCCCCCACAACCGGTGTCCCAGCATCTCATGCCTTCTCTGGTCTCGGGAGCCAGTGCATCCCCTCAGTGGGCTCAGCTGACACCGCCCTGGTTCCCGTCATACCTAGGAGGGTAACCAGTGTCCCCTCGGTGATGAACCAGGGACAGAATTGGGGTAGGGGGCTGGGCAATACTTTTTTGCCTCTTTCCTGTTCCACTGAGTGGGTGGTGTGGAAAGTGATGCTCAAAAGGCATCTCCCGGCCCTTCCCCCGAGGGCATGGAGTCCCAGGGAGGGGCAATGGTGCTGGCAGGCAGGCAGGGGGTGGGGGTGGCCTCAGGGCCATTGACTGGAGGCCTTTGACCTTCAGATGAGGCCCCGAGGCTTTGCTCTTTGCTTCTCAGAGGCAGCCCCAGTATTATGCTGAGTGAAATAAGTCAGTCAGAGAAAAACAAATGCCATATGATCTCTCTCATATGTGGAATTGAAGAGACAAAACAGGGTCATGGGGGAAGGGAGGGAAAAGTAAAATAAGAGGAAATCAGAGAGGGAGACAAAGCATAAGAGACTCCTAAATCTAGGAAACAACCTGAGGGTTGCTGGAGGGGAGGGGGTGGGGGATGGGGTAACTGTGGGGTGGGCATGAAGGAGGGCACGGGATGGGATGAGCCCTGGGTGTTTTATGCAACTGATGAATCACTAAATTCTACCCCTGAAACT